AGGTTGGGGAAAGACGAACCACACGCGATTTAAGCTGCTGCCAGAGCAAGATAGTAGCAACCGAAAGAACTGACCGAAAGGCGTCCGTGGCGAATGTGACGACTGTAACCTCGGGATGACGACTGTAACCTCGGGATGAAGAATTGGCGTAGAAGTTGGAAGTCCTACCTACCTAAGCCGCCAGAAATATTATAGCCAAAACGTAAACTAGTAGGTGTAGAAAAAGTAGTGAAGGCGGCGAGAAAAGAAAGTGCTGACGTAAAGGAGGCGTAAAGTTGCTGGCCAGGAGAGAAAGCTGCATTGCTGATACTGAAAGGCTGCCGGTATGCAAGTGCTCCTCCCAACCCCCCAAAAAAACTAGAACGCGCGACTGACCCGACCGACCCAAACTAAACTATTCCGGCTAGCCTACCGACGCCAACGCGAAAAACCAAAGAAGCTCGAACAACCTTATGGACTCACCTGGCCAGTCAGCAGGAGCAGCGGGCAAAGGCACATGCGAGGCAGAGAGGTAGCAAAATCGTGAGCAGCGAACGAAAAAAACAAAAACTCATGCAGATGCAGCTGAAAAGGCGTATAAAACTTGCTGACCGGGGAAGCTGGAAAGAGAAAACCTAAAGAAACTATATGAAAATGGAAGAAAAATCAGGAATTAATAAACAATTGCAAAGGCGGCGTAGGACGACCCAGGTGGTGTCGTACGAGATGACCTAGTGACGCATTGGACGGATGACGCATGGGACGGGATGTCGCGTTGGACGGCGTATATGCCGGCAGAACAGGGTGAAAGCAAAACAGGGTGAAAGCAAAAAAGGAAGTAATAATAAGAAACAAAAACTAAAAACAAAAAACAGTGAGTGGGTCGGGGCCACATATGGCTCCCGCCAAACCGTGCGCACCAGGAGCATTTGCATGCAGCTCCGTGGTGCCTAAAAAGAAAAAATTTTAGCGTAAGAGGGGCAGTGAGAGAAGAAGAATAAAAACTAAGGGCAGGGTAGAGGGGAAGGAGAAGAAGGAAGTAGGGTATGAAGCATGCGAAGGATGTGAGCTAGGATATCGAAGCCATTACGGCGTTGGGTGGGGAGGGGAGGGGAGGACGTCAGGTTTGGGGGGTTGAGGCGGGAGTGGGAGATAGGTAGCGGGAAGTGGAGGGGTTCGGCGTGAAAGGGAGCGGGAACTGGGTTGGGAGAAAGAGGGGAAGGAGCTGGAGATGGGGGAGGTGGCAAAGGAGGGAACTTAGGTATGGGAGGCAGGAGCTGGAGGTGGGTAAAGGGAAGAGGTGGTACGAAACAACTCCCCTGACAAGGACGATTAACGCGCCGTGCCCCGCAACTCTTCACAGCGTTCCAGCGTGGCGGCGTCCGCAGGAATCCGAGCTTCATCTGGTAAAAGACGACGCTGGCGGTGGCGAGGCATAGCCAGAAACAAGAAAAACAGCCCATACCCAACCTCCCGATATGCGATGCAACCTAGCTGACGAGGAATTAGCTGTCTGTAAAAAACGCGGCTGTTTGGGAATTCGCGGCTGGCTGTGAAATTAGCGGCTGTGTTGTAATGTAGCAACTGGTAGTAAAGTCGCGGTTGAATTAGATAAAGAGAGAGAGAGAAACCATGACGACGAAGACGAGAAGAAATAGTCCGGTCCGTGAAGATGCGAGGAGGTTGGGGAGGGGGTGAATGGAGGCTTAGGGGGAATAGAATGGTGCATTACTCACCACGCGGGTGCTCTTGAGGTACGGATGGTGTACGACACAGGATTGTAAACGGTACGGAATCGTGTACGTCGCCTCTCCCCCAAAGCCAATTAATAGGGTGCCCACCCGAACATGGTCTAAAATCCGCCGTGTGTGTTTTCCTCCACCGAAATGGATGGATTGGAGGCAGCAGCGGTGGCGGCGGCAGCACGTACATACATACGCACAGACACACACGCGTGTATATACACCTCCTTACATGGGCACATCCCGCAGCGCCTCCATAATCTGTACGGCATAGCTACCGCCGCTCTCCGAAACCCAATCCGCATGTGTGATGCGGTGCAGTGCGGTGTCCACGTGGCGTGCCGCCGCCGCGGCGGCAGGTGCGCCGCCACCGGCGGCGCCGTCCTCCTCCTCCGCCTCATCTAACATCAGACAGCAACAAAGCACATAACAGCAACGGCAGCAACATCAAAAATTTGGAGGTGTAAATGGAATTAAGCAAAAGCAAAAGCAAAAGAACAGCATTTTCAATGAAGAAAACAAGGAAACGCAGCAGCAAGGCATCAGGAAAAAATCAATTAACAGCGCTAACAACTACAACCCCAGTCAAACCTTACTCACAACCTACTACAGCCGTCTAGCGGTCCGTCGACTTCCGGCGGCAGCCATCACCTCTTTTATGTGCCGCCATGCCGGCATGTATGAGCAAAAAAGCAAACCTGTTACCATCCATCTGCGGCTGTCCCGTAACCCCAACACGCCAAACCCTGGAGCTGCCCGCCATCTCAAGCAGCTTCTCCCATCCCACCCCGCCCCACCCCGCGGCTGCTATGCCCAGCTGCATCATCATCGCTTTTTAGACTCCAGCAAACAGAGCATCAGCTCTGGACTTGTCGGGGCAGTTAACTCGTTGCTTCTTTTTCCATCATACATGATTTCCCTCCCGGTAACTAACCGCTAACTAAATCCAAACCGATTCCTCCATGCACCGATTTTCCCCCTTTTTCCGGGGTGTTTTCCCGGGGTGGGCCCCCCACACCATCTACCCCTCCCAGCCACCTCTCAAGCATCCCGGCAGCCCCTCCCCCGCCAAACCCACCCTCGGGTGCCCCCGCCTCCAGTAAACGTACGGCAGTCTTGGGCAGCAGCTGTAGCAGCCGGGGAGTGCCCGAGGAGCCGCCTTCCACCCCGCGACAGATGTCCGATAGCAGCTGGGTCGAGTCCGACGGGTGGTGAAGGGGGATGGGTGGAAAGGTACGTGGGGAAGGACGGGGGCAAAAACACGGCACGGGGTTATGCACAGACGCAAGAATTCCATACACACACGGAGGGCGTGCAAGGGGGAAAGCCCGCAGTGGCAGCCAGGCGAAACAGGAGCGGAAAGTGTCCGGATTGGATTCCCCTCTAGGATTTGCAAGGGGCGGACCGGAGCCTCTATGGCATCGTTGGCTTGGTCGTCCGCAGACAGGCAGACAGATCGACCTACAGACGACAGGACAGATCGACCAGGCTTTGCTTCCGCGGCCTTTCCATTTTTGGCGGCTTCTGATGAGACATTTCCTCGGCGCGTTGCTGCTATTTCGAGTCCCTGCTTATCGACTTCTCGAGCAGCAGTAGCAGCAGTTGCAACGGCGGGGCTTGGCGTCAAACTTTCCCGACACCGTCGCCCTGGTAACCCCCCGCCGCGCCCGCAGCGAGAGAAAGGAATGAATGATGGCCGTGAGAAGACGACCAACGGCACCGCTTTGACGATTCCTAAAGGAAGTTTAGGTCTATAGTCTAAAGGCACAGGAAAGCGCGGCAGTGTCAGCTGTCGTTTAGGGCTTATGACGCGCTGTGCAATTTCTCTCTCTTACCGCAGCTAGCTGCTGGAAGTTGAGTAGGTCCAGGTTGTCCAGGAGGATGAACGTGTAGGCGCTGAGATGTGAGTCATTACCATCGTTGCCGGCGGCGCTGCCGCGGTTGCCAGCGGCCCCGCTGCTGCCATCGCCAGTTATGGCGGATACGCCAGCCTTAAAAAGGACCGCAGCCGCGCGCTGCAGCCGCCGCTGGACGAGCTCACCGTGTTCGCCGCCACCGCCCCCAGTGCCATCGTCGTCGTCAGCAGCGCTGAGGAGGGTGCCGCTGAGGGCGACCTTGCGGAGCGCCTGGAAGCAGCGTTCCAGCAGGCCAACATCCTCCTGAAGAGGAGGGGGACAAAATATTTTTTTTCGTGGATCGTGAGCCGGTGAACGAAGAACGGGCTTGGAGATAGGCTTGCTTGTCCATGGCTGACATTTGGTCAAGTTAGAATGTGTCGTGGGAAAGAGCCGCGCACTGTTGTGAGATTGGCGAGGAAATTTATAGTTATGGTGATGTTGCTTTGTCTGGTAAGGGGAGACCAACCTGCGGAGCTTCGCTTGAGCGGATGTGCTGCGCAACTTCAGCTGCCGCGCCGTTTTGCAAGAGCAAATCCAGGAGAGCTTCAGAGCTCTCGTTTTGCTGCCACGCTGCGCGTATATTGTCATACACGCTTGCCATGCTTTCCTGTTATGTTACACCATAGGAACAGGCGCTTTATGCTGTGCCTGCTGTGGCCATTGTGATCAAATTTCGCATGGCATGATCCGGCCTCTGCAGTCAGTCAAGGTATAAAGGAAAGTTCCTTCTATAGTTTGCCTATATTAAGTTGTGCAAATTAAAGCACCAAACTAAAAGCCGACCTTCGTTTACTGCACGGGATGCTGCTATTCCGCGGGAAGACTTCAAATTCTTACACATCCATGGTCCTAATGCATCTGGAAACCACTATCCGGCGGACTTGCCCCATGAAAAACCTATTCCTGGTTTCCCGCCGTGTGGCCTTTGGCTCAGGGTCAACGGTGATCAACGGGCAACCGCCGCAGCGATCACACCTAGCTACTTCTATGACGTTCCCTTTCTTCCCAAGGCCCTCCTTGAAGATATTTGCCCAATATAAAATCCTATTTGCCCAATAACGTGAGGCCGTATGTTTTATCGGTGGAGTTATATGCCCTTTCGAATTTTACCCTAATGAGTGGCCGCACATGTCTGCACACGGCAAGGCGCAACGCGGCCCTGTCGTCAAGACCACGCTGACGCGAAGGGGGGTTGCAGAGCGGTCAGGATGCGGTGGAGGATCGGGCACAGGATTCGGATAGGAAAGAGTAGGATAGAAATGTGGAGCTCCCCAGGATTAGGATGGCATAGGGCCCAGGATGGCGGCAAATTTGGAAGGGTCGATGCTAACCCACCAAGAATGAGGATGGCGGAGGGGAGGGGATGCCGTCGCCAGGATGCGGCATGTGTGGCTCGATATGTGTGGCTCGAGCGTGTAGGATATATTCCAACCGTGTTGGTGTAGGATATATCAAACTGACAGGATGCGTGCCCGACACCAACCCCCAGGATGCGAGGATGGGGCACCGTTCTGCACCTCCGAGTCGAAGGATGTAGCTAGTCAACCGTCGGCCAGAAGGATTACGGTACTGCACGGACAAACATAGAAATTGTTTCACCTATCAGCTTGTGCTAGGTTCAGAAACAACATCCATTGCGTATGGGGGTTACACGGCTTGCCCCTTCCTGCATCCCGGGGAAGGTGTGTGGCTTGGGTTACCCCTTTTTGGTTTACCCTTCTCCTCGCAACAGAGATAAGGGACATTTCCCTGGAGGAGACTTGGTTGGTTGGCAGAGTAATTACAGACAAACCATATGTTTTGCTTGAAGCCTTGTTCAGCGGATCATGCCCGTTCTGAATAACAGAAGATAGCCATAACATTACAAATGTAACATTACAGAAGATAGCCATAAAGGACTCGAGGCCTCCGTCCCAGATGGCTATGCGCTCTGCGGTTCGACATGTCCAGTCAAGGGATTTTTTACTGGCTAGTAATGAAAAAAGGCCGAGCTGTCAGAATCATCCTAGAAAGTCGGATCTGGTGATAGCGCAGCGTCGGCTCCGTCCCAGGACACACGCACCTCACCAGTCTGCCCAGCGGTAGGCACCCGACAAAGAGTGTCCTTCCGGGAAAATAATCCTTTCTCTATTTTTCATTTTTTTATTATTCTACTGCTTTCCATCCTCGCCCTTCACCGGCCTCGTCTTCCTCATCCTCTGAATCGTCCTCTTCTGCCAATTCCTCCACTGGACGCGGAAAGAAAGACTCGTCTCGTCTCGCTGCGCCTTCACAGCAACGACAAACTCAAGCAGCAGCAACACCAGCCGTTTAAACAGGCAAATTGCTCGCAAGATCGCCATCAAAAAAGCAGCCCTTGTAAATTAGCCCTGGCAAGGAGGGGGGAAACCACGCGCAGGGTGTCTCACACACCCCGATACTCCAACACGGCCCAAAGCCAAGTCCTCCCGCCTATCAGCCAAGGAAAAAGGCGCTCGTGAACGTCAGTAAGCTCCGACCCACATCACCGCATCCATGAGCACCCCCGGTGGAGGTGGGGGAGGTAGAGGTGGAGGAGGGGGTGGGCCGCCCGGTGCAGCCAGCAGTAGCAGCATCTTTAAGCCACGGGCTCGGCAGCACGGTCAACGCCAGCCGATATGGCTCAAGGTGCGTGTGAATGAGGCTTGTCGGCAGGGCAGTGATGTGGTGGCCATCTGGTCTGCGCCAGAGAGCATCTTTTCCTTTTCCTTTTCCTTTGCCACGTCGAGTTGTAGCCACAATGCGACAATTGTCTTCATTGAGGCGAGGGAAAAGAGAACGAAAACTGACGCAGGGGATTAGGGTGCAGGGTTCAGAAAGAACGTGCAAATTTTGATTCGTGAGAAGCGAAGACCGGGAGGTAGTAAAGGAGGAGGAGTAAAGGAAGCCGCAAGTTACAGCACCCTGTATGTGTTGTATGTGTTGTATCACGACTACACAAAAAAGTACCTATCGGAAGATGTCAGATCCCCTGATACGCCGTACAGGATGCAACAGCACGTGCAGTGTATTTCTGTGAACCAGGTTGAAGCGGAGGAACGATGTGGTCGTCGTGGCTGGTGGCTGTACGGCCATACCCAAGCACACCCCCACGCGGTGTCGTAACTGCACACAGATATACATACAGTGTAATCGGTACCGAGCGGTGTGAGAGATGACCACTTCTCAGTGCGCGATGAGCGTGTACGAATCCATTAGATAGATTGCTGCTGATTTATTAAGCAACCGACCCAACCAAAACAACCTCCGTACACCAGAGAGACAAGTTCATGCGGCATGGGGAGGTGCTGCTGCTGGCGGCGCTGGCGGAGGATCCGTTGGAGCGTTGCCTAGCTGTCGTACGATACGCGCTTGCCGTACTGGCTGACATGCTGCGGCCTGGCGGGTGGGATCCTTAGGGCTTCGGTGGGGTAATTCTCGGGGCGTGTTTGTGTTTGTGTTTGTGTGCGTGTGTCTGAAATCGTTTTGATACGTCCGTGTACAACGTCATTGTATCGATTTCCATTGCTTTACAATTGACTGACATCTCAGTACTGATACAAGTGCAGTCGCATCAATAGCCTCGTCCCCCTCTTTATGTGATGTACTTATACATATATATCACATATATATATCACATACACATACACATACATACATACTACATATACTATAAACTATATACTATATACTATATACTATATCCTGGGTTCGATTCCTGGGGAGACCCCCGAATTAGTCGGGAGCGCGAGATTATGGCTAGCTGCTGAGATGTGGAGTTGAGGTCACAGTTGATGGACCAGATTCGCACGCTGGATTGGTGGCGATTGCCGAACCCTCCGTCTCTTCGGGTGTTCGGGTGAATGGATGAGGAGGGGTCCCTGAAGGCTGGATCCGCCGCCTTGGACTTACAGTTCGTATGGCGAAGTACAGTGTGGTAGTGGTGGATGGTGCTGTAAGGTGATAAATGTTCCAGAACTGACAATGTGATAAAGCGGCCCAGAAGCCTCCCACTCTGTAACATTACATTACATTACATATACTATATACTACATACTATATACTATATACTATATACTATATAGGCAGGCGGCTGGCAGAAGTTAAGGCCTGACTTCTGCTCCCAGTCGATCCAGTCGACCCGGGTTCAAATCCGCCTGCCAGCTCCTCGGGTGTTTGAGGAGTGTTGAAATGGGAGGTGGCCCCCCATCATATGGACGGTGTAGGACGTGATAATATCAACTTGCGAGCTGACCAGGAACTAAGTTGATGCGCCGTTGATCCGCTAGATTTGGTTGGATGCTGGTGGTGAGTTGCCGAACCCAACGAATACATTCTGAAGTCGGATGGGGTGACGGATTAGGGTGCCCCTCTAGCAGGGGAGAGCAGGGACTGCCCCGGGAAAGGGGGCCGCTGGCGAAGTTAACCACCCTGTAACAACATATATATATAGAGAGAAATATTTATATTCGCCCGTTACCCGATTTGTCCCGCCCCCCTGGTGTTCCTCCTCTTTCTTCCCTCCTCAAACATCAAAATGGATCAGAGAAAACCAGGAATGCACCTTCCACAGCTCCTAAACCCCGACTCACTCCCGCACCCTCCGCTTCCCCCGCCTCATGCAGATCCGACCCGGACGACCTGCCCATCACCACGCTCGGTTGCCACCATGTGACCGTACGGCAACTTGGTAAGCGTACGACAATGTCGACCGTTGTAATGAAAAACGTCGTGGCGACGGCCCTGGTATAACACTCTTCGATTCCTTCCGACGATTTGTGGGCTACAAATGAATATGCAGGAAAACCAGCCCCTGCCGTCGCCGGCACCGCCGCCGCCGGCACCGCTGCCGCCGCCGCTGCCGGCCCTTCAGTCCCCTGCGTCCACATACAAGAGCTCCTCAGCTTCGATCCGATTGAGGGCCCCAAGCAGCTTCAGCTGGCGCCCGGGGGACCTGGACTGCCAGCCGTCGTGGCGACACTGAAAATCGACCCACGGGTCAAGGTTAAGGCGAAGCGCCTCGGCCGTGATGTGTCCGTCAAGGTACCGTACGGGCGCCTTTCGGGGGCCGGATGATTTTGGCATTTTTGTGTCGTCGAATACGAAAGTACGGAACCAGGCAGTTAGGTAAATGAGTACGGAGCTGAGGAAACCGCCGCAGATGAGGCATCACGAGGGGTCGTGTGAGGACGCAATCGGGGAGGAGTCGTGGGGAGTGGTAGGGAGTCGTAAGAGTGGTGGCTGTGGCTGCACAAGGCGAATGATCCAAGGTGGACCGGTTTGGCCGGCTGTGGCTGTGGCTGTGGCTGTGGCTGTGGCTGTGGCTGTGGCTGTGGCTGTGGCTGTGGCTGTGGCTGTGGCTGTGGCTGTGGCTGTGGCTGTGGCTGTGGCTGTGGCTGTGGCTGTGGCTGTGGCTGTGGCTGTGGCTGTGGCTGTGGCTGTGGCTGTGGCTGTGGCTGTGGCTGTGGCTGTGGCTGTGGCTGTGGCTGTGGCTGTGGCTGTGGCTGTGGCTGTGGCTGTGGCTGTGGCTGTGGCTGTGGCTGTGGCTGTGGCTGTGGCTGTGGCTGTGGCTGTGGCTGTGGCTGTGGCTGTGGCTGTGGCTGTGGCTGTGGCTGTGGCTGTGGCTGTGGCTGTGGCTGTGGCTGTGGCTGTGGCTGTGGCTGTGGCTGTGGCTGTGGCTGTGGCTGTGGCTGTGGCTGTGGCTGTGGCTGTGGCTGTGGCTGTGGCTGTGGCTGTGGCTGTGGCTGTGGCTGTGGCTGTGGCTGTGGCTGTGGCTGTGGCTGTGGCTGTGGCTGTGGCTGTGGCTGTGGCTGTGGCTGTGGCTGTGGCTGTGGCTGTGGCTGTGGCTGTGGCTGTGGCTGTGGCTGTGGCTGTGGCTGTGGCTGTGGCTGTGGCTGTGGCTGTGGCTGTGGCTGTGGCTGTGGCTGTGGCTGTGGCTGTGGGCGATCCTTGAAGTCAGAGAGAGGAGGAAATAAGGGAACGCATCCACACACACACACACCTCCTCGCACGAACACGCAAATCCGGCATTCTGCCATTTCCAGGTCCCCCCGGATGACCCCACATCCACCGGTTTAGGTGCCCCACATCCCTCTAGGTGCGACTGGAGGGCGGCGGCCACGTGAATGTGATTCCACCAGTCGGCGTCGGCCTCACTCCGGAGCCGCAACAGCAGCAGCAGCAGCAGCAGCAGCAATATCACTATCAACATCATCAAGCAATGATGACGGCGCCGGTGATTCACGCGCAAGCTGCCGTGCAGGAGCGGTACACGGTCATACTTCCCAGTCTTGTACTGCGCGGCAACCTGCCGTACGCGGCCCGTCCAGAGTTTCAAGGCAAGTAAACGTGTTGGTGATGTTGGGATGTAAACGATGTTACGTGTTAAGCCAGGACGGAGGACGAGAAACGACGGAGGGGAATTAAGCACACAGGGCATGAGGGGATTCGTGTTCACCCCACGTCGTGTTACTGCTACTGCTACCGTGTGTGTATGTATGTATGTGTGTGTGTTACAAGTTCCGCACACAAGTGCGGAATATGTCCGTAAAAGCCGGGGGTTCCACGGACGGGGTTATGGATAGCTGCCCTCGCTTCTCTGTGGCTCCTGTCTATCTGCTGCTGGTGCTCCTGCGCTATATGGATATTCCAACCATGACTCTCAGGTGAGATGTGCTTGTATGTGTGTGTGCGATGTTTTTGTTGTAAGAGTACACATAACATCTACCTGGCTATGTCACGGCAAGTAATACCAAACAACTAAGAGATTAAAGCGATGATGTCAAGCAGAACCACTCAATCTGTGTATGCCACAATAAATGCCGTTACACACATGCCGTACTGCCTTGTGTCAATTTTCGCATGCATCCCTTTAATTGCCGTCGTACGATGCAGGTGAATTGGTCATCCAGTGCCAAGATACGGGCCTTATGGCCAGCCTGACGTTCAAGGAGGACGGCGCGGTGAAGGGCGTGTTGGAGAGGTTGCAGTCTTCGACTTCGACACCATCACCGCCGCCGCCGCCGCCGCCGCGGTCGCAATCATCACAGTCGATGTCGCTGCGCCGCCAGCGTACGGCCAGCGGAAACAACATCGCTGCCGCGGCCACCAATGCGGCCACCAAGCTGTCTTCGGTGTACGGTGTCGTCGGCAGCTTTGCGGGGTCTTTGTACGACACAATCCAGGTCACGTGCCCTGAACTGGTGGGTAGCGAAATAATTGTAATGATGGGGTGCCGGACCCTGTACGGCCATTTGGTCGTATGGCTAGAAGCTAGGGTACCGCTGCTGTGCGGCCTATCATCCTGGACCCCTCGTCCTCTGAGAACTAGTTATGAGCAGGAAGGTGAAGCTAGGCAGGAACTGGGAGGGAGAGGGAAGAAGCAGGGACGGACGGAGGAAAGGGAGGGGGGGTTAAAACACAAAAGAGAACCCCCCTGCTTTTCGCCAACAGAGAGAATGGCACCTCTTACTTATGGCCATAAGCCCCTGAGGCAGCTACCAACTTTAGAATCTAATGGAGCATTACCTAGGCCGTCACCCTTCCAGTCACCCTTACACAGGTACGGAACACGTAACGGCCGCCAGGCGCCTTACCTGTTACTGTGCCTTCACGGCATTGCGTCCCTATCCCCACCCCCACCCAAGAAACATGTGTAAAACCCACAATACTACGACCGTAATAATCCTAAAACCCTGTAAAACTAAAACCCTGTAAAATTAAAACCCGAAAACCACTAATGTTAGGGCCTCGAGGGCACGCTGCATGCGGAGCAGCCACCCGCCCCCGGCCTGCCGCCCCTGGCTCAGCTAATCGACCTCACACGGCCGGGGCCCCAGCAGCTACCGAGACTGCGGACCGCCCTGCACGACGCGCTGCTGTACAACGACCCCAAACAGGTACGGCGTAGTACGATGGCTGTGAAGCACACGTGCGGGTCCGGCGACCAGCAGCAGGGGTTCAGTGAAAAAGGGAGGAGATGAAGCAGGGTGCGAAGTGTCTCTCCATGGGCAGTCAATATGCCTAGCTTAGGGGGCAGCCCCGGCTGAGCTTTGTGAGGTGGCGGAACAAGCATGACATCAGTTATGACAGCATAGGAGCAGCAGCAGCAGTCGCAATTTTAGCAGGGATAATAATGGTGGCAACGATAGCATCGGCTCAGAAGCAGTGGTCAGGGCATGCACACGCATGCATGCATACTCATAACATGCATACGCATCAGGGTTGGACAGGACCTTCCTGAAATGGTCGGGTTGCCGGTTTTCCCCTTCCCATGCCCGTCGGGCCCACCCGATAGCGTTTTTGCATATCTTTCAATTTCTGTCGGGTGCCCCGATAGCCCATCCCAAAACCTGTCGGGTGACGCAAGAACGAAATTTCGCTGTGTGCCGCTTGAAATTACATTTATTCGTATTTTATATGCGCAGTTTCCAGTTCTCAGTTTGCAATTCACAGTTCTGATATGCACGAACACACACACACACACACACACACACACACACACACACACACACACACACACACACACACACACACACACACACACAGCAACACATGCACGCCTGCACGTCTGCCTGTGAGCATCACAACCCGAGCTCTTCAAGGAGACCCTTAGACACCGTAGGACTGGAGAGGAACATCTCCTCGTCCTCCTCTTCGTCCCCCTCGTAAAGAAGAAGAGGCAACGAAGTGAACGAATACATTACATATTTCCATCCAGTTATATTTGTATGAATGCCATTATGTATCGCTGTAGCTGTCCGTCGCCGAAGGGCCCACCGACGACCCACGGCACCCGATCGGGCGGTCCTAGCGCCCCTAACCCTGTCGGGTCCCCCGACGGGGCCCGGAGGGCTCCCGTCGGGGGCTCCCGATGGCCGTTTGGCATTTCCCCCCTTTTTCGTCGGGTCCTCCCGAAAGCATTTTTCAAAGCCTGTCAGGATTTTCAGCACAAGTGCCATTCCTGTCGGGACCCGATCGGACTGTCGCACCCTGATACGCATATTCATACTCATATGCATGCTCCTATGCAAACGCAAGAGACATAGGTGTTTCCTGTTTTGGCACTGCGCTAGGTAACGGGTGGCAAAACGGCCGAAGAGGTGTCAAAGCGCCTGGCGACCAGTCTGCACGCGCTCTTCGTGGAGGACGGCTCTACAGCCGCCGCCGGAAGTGTCGGTGTCACTGGCAGAGCTGCCAGGACGGCGACGGCGGCAAGCGTTGCTGGTGGTGGCGGAGGCGGCGGAGGAGGCGCCGCTGCCGCTGGCGGTCCAGCAACGGATCCGTCCGCCGGTGCAGCGGATTCGGATTCGGACTCAGATTTTGAAGCAGCAGCACGCGACGAGGGAGATACGGCAGAAGACCCACGGGACGCTCCGCCCAGCTATAAGGTACGGCATTTTGCCAGGTGTGCAGTACAAAGCTGCAATATTTGAGTCTGCCGCTGCACGTCCTGCGCTACCAGCCGTTGGGTTCTGGGGTTTTCTCGGTTTCGTTTGCTCTTAACCCCAAGCCATCTAATAGACGACGGCCCTCGTCTTCCCCCCCCCCAACGAGGCCCGCATCTCCTCTCAACCTAGCCTCGCCTCGATTCCCGCTTTGTTTTTTTCTCTCATCTCTGCTGCCGTGACCGCGGGGAAAGGCCCAACATGCCGCTGGCCGACGACTGTGCTGGCAGTTGCAGTACACGGTTGTGACGACATCGCCGCCTCTGGCAACAACGCCGGAGGCCCCCGCCAGCTGAGAAGGAGAGAGGAGAGAGGAGAGAGGAGAGAAGAGAACAGAGCTGGTGGCAAGTACATTAGCCGCGGAGGCGACGGCAGTCAAAATGGAGTTTACTGCTGCAGCAGCAACCATTATTGTTGATGGGGTTTTACATTTGTTGTTATTGTTATTGTGTGTATACACACACAATGGCGGTGGCGGAGGTGAACATGGACGGCGACGGCACTAACAGCGGTGGCAGCAGTTACGGCTGGGGCTCTACGCACCCAGAAGGCCTTACTGTTGGGGCTTATGTGCCGCATGTTCTCCCTACCATTTTGCTAAGGGTCCATCGTTTGAGGGCGCGGCTGTAGAGAGACAGTGCGTGTCTCATGCAGCGCACTTACACTTGGGGTTGGAAGCAAACTGGCGGCTGATGTTTGCATCGGTACAAAGGACTTGTTGGGGCTTGTTTGGCAGAATCGGGTTAAAAAAGTCCTGTTACGGAGCAGTGTCAGTAAGAGTCCACCTCACTCAGCTTCACTCAGGGCAGCACTGGTCGCCTCCGTCCAGGCTGGGCTGCGTCCGACCATTCCGCTCAGCTAAAACCCGCAGTGTTGGGTGAGGTATGCGGCGATTGGCACAGCCTTGCGTGCAGGTGATTTTCGGACTGGAGCAACAACAGAGGGGCAAATGCCGGCGGTTGGCTTAGGGGCGAGCACCTAAACTTAAGGCTATGGTCCTGGGAGTTAGAGCACGTGATGCACAGACCACGCCAGTATCGACGCAGTTTTACGTGCAGCCGGGACTGCATTTGCTGCATAGCCAGCTGGGCAGGGCTGGGTGCAGCGGAGTGCAAGGGAGCGCCGACCAGCGCTGACCCTCGGGTGCTGCATTTGCGCACAGAGCGCTGGGATACTGCATCAACCAAGGGAACGATCGTTTCATAGAAAGTCAAAGTTCTTAGAGTAGACCCGCTGGAGTGGGCGTGCAAGCTTCCTCTGCAAGATTTCATTTGTCCCGTACATTCGAGACCTCGCTGGGATAATATACAGGATGTATGGTTCTTTCATTTCAGGTGTGACACAAGAGAAGTGTCATGGATATTGCTTCTTTATTATGACATCCAGAATTCTGCAAGAGGGCCGATGCTGTACGGTCCCGTACAACCTTGTCGACAGCCCTAGCAGGCTTAGCACAGCTCCACCACAGCATAGACTATCACCGCTATACATACTCTTTGTTGATTGGAGCTTCAAACTTATCACATCACGCTTGGCAGCGAGGCGCCTGCAGCTCTAGTTAAACGATCCGACCTGTCACAGGTGCTCAAGGACGTAAGTAGCCATGCAGGTCTTGCGCAGCTCCAGTAGCTCGATAACTGCACATCCATGCCGAAAGCCGGAGCCTTGCCCGTCAGCGGCGGCGTTTAGAGCTCGTTCAAGCGTGGTGGCGAATGCACGACGAAGCAAGACGGCAACTGCAACTCAATTTCATCAAGGAGATAAGATTGATGCCGACACGAAGGCAAGGCAGCTGCGTAACTTTATCGACGACATTACTTCCCGCGCCGAATTTCGGTGTTTCCATCTGTTGGCATTCCTTATGAACGAACATGCCCATTTTAATAATGCAGGCAAAACTCTTTAACGATACCGTTGACAGGATTGCTCGTCGCTTTGGGGAGAATACCATCATGCGGCTTTCGGAGAGTGTGTCGGCTAACGTGTAAGTGGCATGGCATCTGCTTGTCTTGAAGAGTTCCTCTAATATGATAAAGCCATATGGAAAGGCCGATAATCACCACGGCTGTTAGATACTTGTGTTTCGTTCAGACACTTTAGGATATTTGTACTGGCTACGTACGCAGTCAGCTCTTCTGCCTTCCAACCTTCACCATCTTATCAGATCTGCTCATTCCTGCGGGGTAGTTGTCCACGTGCTGAAGTATGCTGTCCGCGACCCTGTCCCTCATCCTCAAACCATACTTTGCAGCGACACCTTCCCTAGTGGTAGCCTCACCTTGGACGCGGCGCTGGGTGGCGGGTATCCGAGGGGCCGCATCATCGAGGTGAGCTATTGTTTAGCCAAAGGCCATTTGCATAGGGCATGGGCAGGTTCAGCAGGGTCATTGCATCGCTGCGAAGAAATCCGCCCTTCCCTCTGGCTGGGCGACCCATTTAATGTCTGGCCGACCCGCACCAAGCCCGCGTTATCTCCACGGGAAAGCCAGTCAGACTACAGGGATGGGCGCACCGGGCCCATCATATCCATATCCACAGCTGAAGCTACTGTATTCAGGCAGCTGTGGCCACACAGTCATGCCTTGTTCACTGGCATTTTTCTCCTACAGGGACTGTACGGCATTAGGGAAAACCTGAGGTTGTACCCACTTCTTGGGAAAATCTAAGAGGTTGCACCTGTCAATGTATTACATGCTCAAGATTTTTTGTTATCTTTTTGGCCGATCATTGGCGAGTGCAGTAATGAGCGGTAGCAAGTTACAAGTTCCGCAGAAGTGCGGGGTGTCCGTGAAAGCCGGGGAGCCCATGGGCGGTAGCAATGAATTTCTCAACCTAGATTCCCATCAGATCTCACTCTTCTACCTCTTACCTCCTATCTGGAGACCTTGCAACCTGTTCCAACCTGAAAAACAGCTCCTACAACCATTCGCAATGGTGCGGGGTTTAAACATGCGGGCTAACTGCCCACACCATGGCATGCATGCTGTATACAGGTGTACGGTCCTGAGGCGAGCGGCAAGACTACGCTGGCCATGCACGCATGTGCGGAGATCCAGCGGCTGGGCGGGACGGTTGCGTACATCGATGTGGAGCACGCGTTTGACCGGACGTACGCTGAGGTGGGGGGGCAGACATGGGGATCCGTTCGCATTGCTGTAGAGGAATTTAAGAACAGGCTGCTGGCTATTGGAGATACAAGTTCTGCACACACGCGTGGGGGGGGTGTCAATAAGAGCCTGAGGGGCCCCCCTGGATGGATCGTTAGATTGCTGGGCGGGCTGCTGATTAGATTGCACAAGGTTTTTACGGTCACGGCGCATGGTGGATCGTGACAGAGTTTCTTGTTGGCGTCAGGTTTCTAAATCCTAGAAGCCATAGGAGCAAATGGAGCGGACTTGTACACCAAAGCACCTCATCCGTAGGTGAGGATTGCCTATGATGTTGCATTAGCATATGACTCTCTACCCCTCCCCTCCCTCCCTTACCTTTCTGGCCCCTCTTCAGCGGTTGGGTATTAACCTAGAGAGCTTCTGGTATTCCCAGCCCATGACGGGCGAGGAGGCGCTGGAGGTGATGGATGAGTTGTGTCGCTCCAACGTGTGCGACCTGGTGGTTATTGACAGCGTGGCGGCACTGGTGCCCAGGGCGGAGCTGGAGGGTGATATCGGTAACGTACAGGTATGGAAAGCACGGCAATGAAATTTTAGTTTTAGTACGATGCGGTGTCGTGCTAGGGGGAACGCAGGAAAGCAGTTGGGAGTCGTGGTTGGGAGTGGGATGGGGGAAAACAGGCAGCGGCACGGCCTGAATCTACTCTTGGACCGTCCCGTTGCGTCCCTCCCGCCATCCTTCACCATCAGACACATTGCTGACCTCACCGGCCGTTGGTCGCCCAACAACTTCGATATGACTTATGTGTTGCAACCCAGGTCGTGATTGAATGGCTTTTAAAGCCCCACCTACCCTATACCACCCTATGCACATGCACAGATTGGCTCTCAGGCCAGGTTGCTGAGCCAGGCGCTCCGCAAGCTGTCTGCCAGTGCAGCCAAGAGCAAGACTACGCTGTTCTTCATCAACCAGCTCCGAAACAAGGTAGGTAGGAACTGGGATCTGTGTGGGGGAAGCGAGTCCACTGGGTGCCAAGGATGGCGCGATGCAGCTCTTACTGGAGGCTTCTACAAGGAAGATGGTGCAGGAACGTAAGCAGGGATGCCGGGGCTTATATTTACAGTTATTATTGAATTAGTACCACTCTTTCGGGCAGGGTGAAGAGGACGAGGAGGCGCCTTTAAGCTGTGTTGCATTGAACTTATTACGCAGCCGGTTACATGAAGCACGTGGTTGCTGATCCAGCCCGCTCACTTACAAGATGGACGGGGAGCCCAGAACCCGACATTTTTAGATTTGGGTTACGGGCTTTTCATGGGCAAACATGCTCCAGAGCACAGCAGGAGAGCCTTGGATGAAATTCATTACATCTTATGCCAACTTTCGGAAGACATATAAGTCCAAGTCCCTTCGTGGCCCCAACGTCTTGCTCCGTTCCCTAACGACCTGCGCCCACAACCGTGCCCAACCCAGATCGGCGTCATGTTCGGCAATCCCGAGACCACAGCTGGCGGCCAGGCTCTCAAGTACTACAGTAGCGTACGAATTGACATCCGGAAGAAGGAGACGCTGACGCAGGGCGAGCAGGCGTACGGCAACCGTGTACGAGCCAAGGTGGTCAAGAACAAGGTGGCGCCGCCGCACAAGTGAGCACCGGTGTGCCTTGAACTGATCTGTGAGCCGTGGCGAGGGAAACGGCGATGGTGGCGCACGAATACCCTTACCGAAGCGAGCTCCGAAGTCCAACGATGTGAAGTCTACATTTTGCAATGAAGCTTTAGACGTCGCCTGATTTCTCAAGTGGATATTGATTAGGAAAGTGATGCAGGAGCCAATAGAAATAAGCGGTGCAGCAAAGTGCCTGTGCCTGTGCGTGTGAGGTTCAAATTTTCTAGGGGGTAAAGCTGTGGTAGGAAAGTGGGAGAGTGTGAGGGGTTCTGAAAGGTTGCCCAGCTCTTAAGGTGTGGAGGCCGTGGACTGCTGCCGACCAGATCGTCTCGTAGCTTCCCTCGCTCTCACCTCCTCCGGAACCCCGGGTTTTGTTTCTCCCTGCCCGCAGCTCAACTTATTGAAGCACGCGCCACCACACCAGGCAACCCAATATAGTCGACCAAGACGCCATTCAAGCCGCAATGGCCATGAAGCGTGATAATAATAATAATAATAATAATAATAATAATATAGCCTTGAATCCTGCGAATTCTCCTGCAGGGAGGCGATGCTTGAGATTTACTATGGTCGCGGCATCGACTTTTTGGGCGGTCTGGTGGACACGGCTGAACGGCTCCGGGTGCTCAATCGCAAGGGCGCCTGGTACTACATGGGGGAGATGCGGCTAGGCCAGGTGCGGCTCTGGGAGAGGAAGGTTAAAGAAAGGGAAGGAAAGGGTATGACAGAAAGGGTGGTATGAAATAGTGTTAGGGTGTAGCAGCAGGGCCGTCAGGGTCTTAGGGTGGTATTGGTGAGACACACTTTAGGGTGGCTCGCGCTCCAAACCCACTCCTTCCCCAACCCCCGCACGCTCTCGCTGCCGCTCGTGATGACAGGGCCGAGAGAAGATGCTGCAGTTGTTGAGGGAGGACCCAGATCGCTGCGCCGCAATCGAGAACGCTGTACGTGAGATACTGAAGGTACGTTACGTACGGCACGCCTTACTGCGTAATGCGTCGCCTTCCGAACCCCAAACACTTGGCTGTCGTGCTGTGTTATGTCGTGCTGTGTTGTGAGGCGTTTGGAGGCCTGCTGCGGCGAACGGAATACCTGCGTAGGTCTGATGTCACACCTCGTGTCAGTGCCGATGTCGGGGGTCGCTAGGGTTGTTTTTTGGTTTCTTTTGTCCTTAGCCTTCCTCGTCCCATGCCGCCGAACCGAACCGTCCACCTCTTTAAACTGTCTAGATAACCCATTTGCACGGTCGGGCCGTGCAGTTGAGTTTGCGGTTCCTCCAGCTACCTACCTTCCCCCAGCTACCAAGCCCAACTCATAACTTTCACCTCGCAACTACCAACGTCCAAGTTCCAAGCCTGACTCTGACTTCGAATGCCAACTCCCAACTGCCAATTCCCAACTCCCCGCCCTTCGCAGGCCAACCCAGATGCAGCACTTGTCGATGTGGAGGCCGGAGACGACGACGGACCAGACCAGACAGTGGGGCTCGACCTGGATGACCTCTGATACCGCCTTACCTAATACAGAGACTTTTGCCCACCACCACCACCATCGTCACCACCGCCACCAGTCGACTCGCCGTTTGAAGCTCTACAAACCAAACCTTGGCGTTTCTCTTTACTGCTTTTCTCCCGTTCTTGGCTTTCTCTAGGACGCTCTCACTTGCTGCTGCATACTTCTTGAGCAATGGTGAGCAACGAGCTTCAACTGCATGAACGGGACATCGTTGGACGTCTGGTTTGACTTTTTCGGGCTTCTGCTCCCAGGCGTTGTGGGATTTGTGTTTCGGAGGCAAAATTAACTAGTAGAAGGGATTTTGTGGCAGGGGCGCTTGCATTTTTTTGTGCAGCGGGTCCATTGATGTGCGGTGGGTAATGGGAAAGACTGCAGGGAGGAAGAATAGAGGATCGAAGGCGAGGCGCTGTGGATATCGTGGTTATCTTATACCGGAAATGCAATATATGTACTGTATGTACGTACTGTCTGATTAACAATAGTAACAACACCGTTCCTTCGCACTACTTATGAATTTCTGAAGACGGTTGGTTTCTAACTGCGAAGTTATCGGTTTGTATGATATGATAGGTCGTTCAGCTATTCGTGAGGTCGATTAATAGATAGGGTGTATCGCAATGTGTCGTGTTGAGTGTATCGCAATCTTGGGTGTGGTTAGCATTGTCATGTACTGGCTGGAGGGATTGCCTCGTTGAAGGGGTTATTTGAGGATATAAGAGGCAGTTGGTGGTTGGTGGTGTGGAGGAACCCAAGGGACTGTCCGGCTACGGAAAACACCCTCGGAAGGGAGTTTGTGGTGTGGATTGGGCTGATAGGCGATTACGTAGCCAACATAAAACAAATGATGCGTTTGTTCTGGTAGGGCAGGATGTGATCACTGCGAATACATAAGCAATCCGCAGGCGTTTTAAAAAGGAAAGTGTCTTTTTCGTTCTGGCTCTATTTTGAAAGTAGTGTAAGGGATATTGCTTTGGTGCGGTGCGGACTGAACATATGTACGAAACGGAATTTCAACTCCTCAAAATATCTTCATAGGATCCTGTGTTATTCGAGTTGGGCACCGGCCAACAAGATAGAGGAAGCATCTATACGCCGCACGCAGTCCGCATGTTTTCATGTCAGGTGCGTCTTATGTTTCATCGTACGGACTGTTTGACTAACTTAACTGTCGAAGGTTTGACCCGTCATTTGGATTGTCATCCCGCAGCTGTACCTGACACCTTGATGAGAATTGTTTAAGCTTTTTGTTTGCAACTCAATTGGCTCTGGAATGTGATATGTTTCTTCAGTTTGATTCGTTATAAGTGGGCATCTCCATTTCGTCTTCCTCGCGCAAAGCTTGCAGAACGGTGTCGTGCAACCATTACACCCAACTTATATAGACGGCATACGACTTTACAGTCGCTGTGAGGGGGAAGCCGCCGAGCAAATCTGCCAACCTACCGCAAGCCGGTTGACATGCACGATGGCAACCATCACGCTGAACAGGAAATATGCTGACAGCTTGCCTCCCGCAGCCGCATACTTCAGGTGCGATGGAAACAGATACTATGTTTGCGGCCTCAAGAACACTTTGCATATCCGCTATGGACACACTTGATAGACGTGATTGGTCTTTGATGCTCAAAGGCTGATTTGGAAGGTGACGCGGTATATATTCATGCATAGCGGGAACCATGAAAGTCAAACTTGTCCAACAGCACATCAAAGCAGCAAGAGGTATACTCGTGCAAGTATCTAGGGACGCACGCCGGCCAGTCAAGCACAGGATAAAGGTGACCAAAGATCCGCTGGTTGTGAAAACGCAAATATGCAGTAAAAATTTACTATAAAAATGATGTATGACAAGGCCATCGAATGCTGATCCAAGGCCCTGAAGGAAATTGAAGAGCTGCCCCTTTCAAAAAAGTAATTGGGCAGCTACTGAGAATATATATATCTTTTTTGTTTCCATTGTCCCAGTCTCATAGTCCCAGCCCGCTGAAGTATGGCACAACCTATATCGCGTTGCATGGTATATCGCGACAATTCAGTGGGGACGAGACAGCAGCCCGCTGCATCGAAATTCATTACGGCCAGGACAGCTACAGTTTACTCCGTTGTTTGAAAACCAACGACTGATTGAAAGCTCGCTTTCAACTGTGGTTATCCGAATGCGCCGTACCGTACGGAAATGCGATGTACGAATGCGCGTACTGTACGGAAACATGATGTATGGCACCATACTGCATATCGCCAGCCATGTCGCCGGCCATAACCACTACCAGAATTATTGCCGGCATATATCGCCCGACGTTCTTGGCCTCTCCCGGCCTCTCCGTCCCGCGTGCACGCACGTCCCACCATGAACACGTGTACACCAGTACCGCTGCTACAACCTTCAATATCATTTTGCACACGGTGGATACAGCCATCCTCATGGTTGCGTCAGCTGCCATGATCTTGGTGTATGGCTAAACTCTCGATACGGAGGCGGGGAGCACGGCATGTTGGATGCCGGGTGCTGCAGGATGGGGCCGGGCCCGGCCTACAATGTCCCTCGGGGGTAATGTAGGCTTCAGGTGCAGCCTATTTACTGAAGTCTGGCTCTCGGTGGTGGCGGCGGTACAGCTGTGGAGTTTTAAAATGAGGGCACAGAGGGTGAAGGGAGTTAACTATGAATCGTGAATGGAAATAACTAATGCATCATGCAAGAGGGGGGAAGGAGAGCGGAATACATGGGCCACCATATGCACAAAAATATGCGGAAGGGCAGATGGTTACGCATTTAAAAATTTCCAATGAGGGGGGTCTCCAAGCCACAGCGCTCCTGCTGCTTCAGACAGGCAGCAGGTGGGTCGGTGGGTCGGTGGGTCGGTGGTGGGTCGGTGGTGGGTCGGTGGGTCGGTCGGTGGGTCGGTGGTGGTTTGAGAGATACTTGGATTTACCAGCTGTGAATGGGGGCTGGGATTGCAGCTGATGGCAAAGGAGTAACGGGAATGACGAGGAGCTGTGAATTGATCAGCACACGTGTCGATGTGCTTGGCATCCTCAAATTTATGTGTGTGTATGTGTGTGTATGTGTATGTATGTGTATGTATGTGTGTGTATGTGTGTGTATGTGTGTGTATGTGTGTGTATGTGTGTGTATGTGTGTGTATGTGTGTGTGTGTATGTGTGTGTATGTGTGTGTCTGTGTACGTGTGTATGTGTGTGTCTGTGTCTGTGTACGTGTGTGTCTGTATCTGTGTACGTGTGTGTGTATGTGTGTGTATGTGTGTGTATGTGTGTGTATGTGTGTGTATGTGTGTGTATGTGTGTGTATGTGTGTGTATGTGTGTGTATGTGTGTGTATGTGTGTGTATGTGTGTATGTGTGTGTATGTGTGTGTATGTGTGTGTATGTGTGTGTATGTGTGTGTATGTGTGTGTATGTGTGTGTATGTGTGTGTATGTGTGTGTATGTGTGTGTATGTGTGTGTATGTGTGTGTATGTGTGTGTATGTGTGTGTATGTGTGCGTATGTGTGCGTATGTGTGCGTATGTGTGCGTATGTGTGTGTATGTGTGTGTATGTGTGTGTATGTGTGTGTATGTGTATGTGTGTGTATGTGTGTGTATGTGTATGTGTGTGTATGTGTATGTGTGTATGTGTATGTGTGTATGTGTATGTGTGTGTATGTGTACGTGTGTATGTGTGTGTCTGTGTCTGTGTACGTGTGTGTGTATGTGTGTGTCTGTGTGTCCTGAATGCCAGCCCTAAAAATCCCCGATGCAACGGGTCTGTAGCTACCGGGTCACAACCACCAGGCGAGTCATGCTCAGTGCAATGCTGCTAACTCCTCGTAAAGTCAAGCGACTTGCTAATACAATGCAACATGCCTGCTACTTACAAGGCAGGTTATGGTTGCACACACAGACATATCACATTATGGTTTGAAAAATAGAGAAA